CTCAGGGGAATTTCTCACAGGTGCCTTGCACTGACTCTCTGTGTCTGTGTGCACACAGGAGTGCCTGTGCTGGGGAAATGTGGCAGAAATGCTGCTCTCTGAGGGGTCTGAGTGCCTTGGATAGCTGAGCCAGTCAGGCCTGAAAGTGAGGTTAAATTACGAGGTCTAAGTTAAGTTAAATGCTTCTAGGAGTTGTTGTTTTGCTAAGTTGTTATGTTTAATATAAGTTATAGGCTGAGTTAAATACTGTTAAATGTTATTCCTCTGTTAAGTTGCTAAGTTGTAGGTTATAAGTTAGGTTAAATACTGTTAAGCTCTTCTCTTTTGCTAAATTGTGACTGTGAAACTATCATTTAAGATTTAGATGTAAGTTAAGTCCTGTTAAGTTGGAGCTCTGTTAAGCTTTTCGGCCATATTCCTTTTATCCTTGCTCTCACTGCCCTTTTATCACACACGCACACACAGGGACAGTTCTCGGTTCATTTCTGGTTTGATTGACTGGATTTTGTTTGCTTTTGTTGTTGCTTTGTTTCCTTGCTGTGCCTGAAGTGTCCAGTCAGGAGCATCAAATCCCTCCCTAATATAAAGCGCCACCCCTCCACCTCTTCTCTTTTTCCCGTCTCTCCTGAAGAGCTTGTACCCATCCAGTGCAGCTCTCCAGCCATGTGACTCATCCCACCCTGTTTCTGTGATGGCAATTACATCATGGCTCTGCTGCTGCACCATGGCCTCCAGCTCTTCCTGTTTGTTAGCCATGCTGCATGCATTGGTGTACATGCACCTCAGCTGGGCTGCTGATTTCACCCCTCACTCAGGATTATCACCCTTGGGCCAGCTTCCAGACAGCCCAGGTACATCTCCCTCCCACTTCCGACCTAGTTTAAAGTCCTCTCAACAAGTTCTGCCAGTTCATGAGCTAAATATTTTTTCCTTAATAGAAAGATGGAGCCTGTCTGGTCCAAGCAGGCCAGGTGCCTTAAAAGTTGCCCCATGATTAAAAAATCCAAAATTCTGCCGATAACACCAACCCTTGAGCCACTTGTTGATAATGTGAGCTCTCCTATTACTTTCACCATTTTTCTCAGACTCCAAAGGGACTGAGGAAAAAACTGCCTGTGCCCCTGTCCTATTAACCACCTGACCCAATGCCCTAAAGTTCCTTTTAATTGCCCTGACACTCCTCTTTTCAGTCTCATCACTGCCAGCCTGGGGTATCAGCACTGGGCAATAATCAGGGCTGAATCAGCCCATGCAGTCTCTCAGTGATATCCCGTACTTAGGCCCCAGGGAGGCAGCAGACCCCTCTGTGGGGTGGCCCTGTTTGACATATGGAGCTCTCTGTTCCCTTCAGAAGGGAGTCACCCACCAAGATTTCCCTTCTTTCCATTTTGGTGTTAGAGGTGGTGATCTGTCTCACAGATGAATCATAATTGAGAGGCTCAATGGGCAGATAATTTTCTTCTAAACCATCTGGATGACTCTCTAGATCCAGGGGATCAAACCTAATCTGAAGTGGCACCTGGCTTGGGATGAAGTGCTGGGAGGAATTTTTATTCTTACCTCCTCGAGTAGGTGCCCACTCCCACTCCCCTTCATCGGCCAGGTGTCCTTCAATAGCCTGAGAGTGGGAGGCACGGGAGACAGCGGGAACCAAGGAGAGCATTGCTGCCCTGCCAGACCTCATAGAACCAAGGATCCCCTGTGACACTGCAGGGCCTTGGGGGACCATGGTGACATTGTGACACTGCAGGGCCCAAGGATCCAAGGGACTTTGTGACACCAAGGGGTCCCATGGAACCAAAGGGACATTGGGACACTCTGGGGCCTCATGGAACTGAGGTGACACCAAGTTGTCTGGGAGTGTGGATCTGCTGGAGGGTAGGAGGGCTCTGCACAGGGCCCTGGACAGGCTGGATCCAGGTCCCAAATCCAACAAGGTGAGGTTTAACATGTCTAAGTGCCAGATCCTGCACTTTGGCCACAACAACCCCTGCAGTGCTACAGGCTGGGGACAGAGGGGCTGGACAGCAGCCAGGCAGAAAGCGACCTGCAGGAATTGATGGACAACAGGCTGGACATGAGCCAGCAGTGTACCCAGGTGGCCAAGAAGGGCAATGGCTTCTGGCTTGGATCAGAAATGGTGTGGCCAGCAGGACCAGCGTTGCTCTGCCAGAACTGATCTGGCCAAGCTCTGCACACAAACATTGCTGCTGCAGCAGGCAACAAAAGGGCATCTCTGCAGAAAACTGTGCTGAGAGATCCTTTAGTTTAGAGTGCAGCCCCTCACTGACACAGTCTGAAGGCACAGGGAAGGTGGAGGGAGACAAAACGTGAAACGGCACAAACAATGACATTGCTTTGTGGACAGCATTTAAAAAATGAAACAAAGAATAAGAACGTTGAAAATGAAACTAACAAGAAATATCAAATTTTACATTTATTACAAGTGATTTGCAGAAGTTGGGCAGCAGTTTAATATTTTCGAAAATATGCAGTCATCAGACTCCACAGCGCAGCCTTGAGCTCCTGGTTCCTAAGGCTGTAGATGAGGGGGCTCAGGGCTGGAGGCACCACTGAGTACAGAACTGACAGGGCCAGATCCACGGATGGGGAGGACATCGAGGGAGGCTTCAGGTGAGCAAGTATGCCAGTGATGACAAACAGGGAGACCACGGCCAGGTGAGGGAGGCAGGTGGAAAAGGCTTTGTGCCGTCCCTGCTCAGAGGGAATCCTCAGCACAGTTCTGAAGATCTGTACATAGGAAAAAACAATGAACACAAAACAGCCAAATACTAAACACACACTAATAATAAGAAGCCTAAATTTCCTGAGGTAGGATTTGGAGCAGGAGAGCTTGAGGATCTGTGGGATTTCACAGAACTGGCTCAGGGCATTGCCATGGCACAGGGGCAGGGAAAATGTATTGGCTGTGTGCAGCAGAGCATTGAGAAAGCCACTGGCCCAGGCAGCTGCTGCCATGTGGGCACAAGCTCTGCTGCCCAGGAGGGTCCCGTAGTGCAGGGGTTTGCAGATGGACACGTAGCGGTTGTAGCACATGATGGTCAGGAGATAAAATTCTGTTGAGATGAAAAAGACAAAAAAAAAAAGCTGTGCAGCACATCCTGTGTAGGAGATGGTGGTGGTGTCCCAGAGGGAATTGTGCATGGCTTTGGGGACAGTGGTGCAGATGGAGCCCAGGTCGCTGAGGGCCAGGTTGAGCAGGAAGAAGAACATGGGCGTGTGCAGGTGGTGGCCGCAGGCTACGGCGCTGATGATGAGGCCGTTGCCCAGGAGGGCAGCCAGGGAGATGCCCAGGAAGAGGCAGAAGTGCAGGAGCTGCAGCTGCCGCGTGTCTGCCAGTGCCAGCAGGAGGAAGTGGCTGATGGAGCTGCTGTTGGACATTTGCTGTGGCTGCACATGGGCACCTGTTCATGGAGAAAGGGACAGTGAAGAGTTAGAGGAGATGCCTGTAACTAAAAACAAAGACATTTCCCATACACCCTCTTCTGTAGCACACTTGGACGTACTTTTGTGTTTAAGAGTTCTGAGGTTTTCTTTATAAGCTCCCCAGTATTTTCCCAGTATTCTTGGATATCAAAATCTCTGCATTTCTGCTTCCCTCAGGGAGAGCAGAGCAAGTTCTGTGAGGGAAAGTGATGAGTGGAGAATGAAGGGAGATAGTCTGTCATTCTGACCTATTCAGAATTTCTCTGGGCATTAGACTTTCTCAGCTGGAGTATTATCACCTTCCCATACTTCCACTAAAAACTGCCAGGTACTGCTGAGAGCAGATGGATCCACCACAACCCAGATCCACATTTGTAGCCAAGGACTCACTTTGCTCATTTCATCAACCCAGCAGCATTTTCAGTCTCAGAACTCTTGCCTTTCCCCGTCAATCTTATGACTCAAAGATGCTCTAGGACAGGTTGTCACCCTGCATTGAAGCTCCCAGCTTAGACTGACATATCAGGGAGATTTACAAGTGTCCTTCTGATGGCACTGGATTAAGGGAGATGCAGCTCCTTCCCTGGCTGCACTGCCAGCATTGCCCAGAGCCAGGCACTGGGGACAGCTGTGTCACCCTGAGCCAGCTGTGCCCCTGCCAGAGCCCCCAGTGCCGGGCAGCTGCTCCCAGCCCTGTGCTCTGCAGAGGGAACTGGGCCTGGGGCTGCAGAGCTGCCCCACGGCTCTGCTGCAGCTCTGCCTGCACAGGAGGGGCTGCACGCCTTGGAGCCCCAGCCCTTAGGGTAGAGGCTTGGCTGGGGCACAGGAGGGAGGGGGCTTGTGCAGAGGGAGGGGCTGCACTGGAGGGGATCCTCTGGACATCTCTAAACTCTCCCTGCCTAAGCATTTCTGGGTTTTCTTTTCTCTCCTTCCCTGATCTTCTCTCTGCTTCCTGGAGATTTTCGTCCTGCAGGTGTTTCCCTGTGCCTCATCTCTCCCTGCCAGCACTCCCAGACCCCAAATCTCTGTGCACTCTCCTTGGCCTGACAGAACCCTGCCTGTTTGCAGGGCACTGGCTGGGGGCAGGTTCTGTTTGCAGCTTGGAGAAAGGACAGCTCAGACTGAGCCTGATGGCTCCAGCAAAGGTGATGCTGCTGCTGTCCATGGGCACAGTGGCTGCAAGCATAATTAGGGATCTCTTTTGAACCTACTGATCACTAAAATAACAGTTCTAATGTCTCATGCACTTCTAAAAATTCATAATCCACCATTAATATTTATCCCCCTTCCCTGCCACTCTCCAATAATAGGAAAGTGAATAAAAAGTCTTAGGATATTTCCTCCTTTTTATCAAAATCTTTGTCTTGG